GCCAAAAGGGACTGGAACAGTGTTGGAAGATCCAACCCCAAAGGATCCAACCCCGAGAGGACCCAGCCCCAAAAAAGACCCAGCCCCAAAAAAGACCCAGCCCAAAAAAAGACCCAGCCCAAAAAAAGACCCAGCCCAAAAAAAGACCCAGCCCAAAAAAAGACCCAGCCCCAGGAGGATCCAAACCCAACAGCTTCCTACTATTCTCTCCTCAGTGGCTAAATCCCCAGGGAAAGGAGCAGCAGGATTCCAACTGAGCCCTCTGTGTGCCATTTGGATCCCTAAAAGCTGATTTAATTCCCCCTTTTTTTCCCCCTCCCCCAACTTCCAAGGGATTCTACTCACTTTGCCTCGTTGTATCTCCCCTGGAAGAAGGAGAAGAGCCCTCGGATGTAGAAAGCTGCTGCTCGAAGGCAGTGAGAGCTGTGGGCAAAAGCACATGTGGTACCTCAGCACAGCACAGAATCCTGGGAATTGGCCTGAAATTCCCATTGCCAAGCAAAACAGAATGTTTAAGGCATAGTCAGAACTTCTGCCTTGGAAAAAAGTTGCTTATATTGCTTTATTTTTTAAAGACTTCCTCTAAATCCACAGTTCCCAGTCCCAAAGTGGAGAGAGCTGATGGAATTCTCACCTCACAGGAAAGTTATGGTCTGGATTTATCCTTTCCAACAAGCTGTAAAGCTGCAAAGTGGGAGAGGAAAAGGGATAATCAATGTTTCTGACAGCAAAAGCTTTGCTAAGTGTCCATCAATCCAACATGGAGCAAATCACCACAGACACTGAGTGTTACACTGCTTAGCTCTGAGCACAAACACTCCAATATTGGGTGTTTCTATGCTTGTTTGGATCCTAAAATCAAGTTTTATGCAAAATATCCTTTCTCCTTCATAGGATAATTGTATTTAGCTGTGATGTCTGAGCTGTTCAACACCCAGGGAAATGCTGTTGTGGGATTGGGTGTTGACTTAAACTCAGAAAACAACTAAAAAATGGTCAATTTTTATTAGAATTGTTGCACTCTAAACTTTTACCCAAGTCCTGTGTGCTTGGGGGCGAAGAACATGGAGAGCCTCTCTATGAGAGAACTGTGAGCACATCCCTGAGGGCTCAGACAGACTCAGGGACATCTCTGAGGGTTCAGAAACAGCTCCCTGAGGGCTCAGACATACTCAGGGACATCCCTGAGGGCTCAGACATGACCCTAAAGGCTCAGACAGACTCAGGAACAGCTCCCTGAGAGCTCAGACAGACTCAGGGACATATCTGGGGGCTCAGGAACAGCTCCTTGAGGGCTCAGGCACACTCAGGGCATCCCTGAGGGCTCAGACTCAGGGACATCTCTGGGGGCTCAAGAACAGCTCCCTGAGGGCTCTGACACACTCAGAAATATCACTGAGGGCTCAGACACACTCAAGAACATCCCTGAGGGCTCAGGAACAGCTCCCTGAGGGCTCAGGCACACTTAGGGACATCCCTGAGGGCTCAGCCACGCTCAGGACATCCCTGAGGGCTCAGCCACAGCTCCCTGAGAGCTCAGCCATGCTCTTCCTGCAGAAATTCCCTGGGGGAAGCAGGATCCCAGCCCAGCAGCAGGTCTCTCCCCCATGCAGGGCCCAGCTCACCTCCTGGTGCCTGTTGCCCTCACGGATGTAGACGCTGGCCAGGTTCGTCACGATGAACGCCCACAGCTCCTGGTGTGTCGTGAGCTAGATGGAACAAGAGACCAACAACACACACCCCTCAGTGTCTCCCCCAGGATTGCTCACCCCACCATCAATCACAGGTTTTAGGTGGATATTCTGGTGTCAAGAACTCCACCTGAGTGTGAACAGCATGGAAACCAATGAAGATGTGAAATGAACACAGATATCTCCAGGTTTCCCTTCCCAACTCCACTGTTCCCATGTAAGAATTGCAAACAGGCCTTGTCCATGCTGAATATCCATAGGGAAGAGGTTGGGAAGATGATCTCACCCTCAGTGCTGTAGTGAATTGTGCTTCAGCGTTGTCCATGCAGTTCACAGAGATGCAGTAGAGCCCCTGGAGGAAAAGAGATTTGTCATTACAACAAGGTGGGAAGGCAAAGGCAGCCCCAAACCCACTGAAATCTTGGGATATTGGCAGAAAAAAACTAACTATAAGGCTTGGTTTTGCTTGGCTCTGGGAAATATAAGGATTTTCCACATATAACCCTTTAAAAGAGTTTGTTCAGGTAGAAAAAAAAGCTTCATTTATCTAAGAAAACCTCTTAAATGTCATGCAAAACTCCAGATTTCCCTCATAAACTTTTCCCCTGGCACAGATCCCACAACACTCCATCTCCAATGGGAACAGTTTGACTTTCTTGTGTTTATTTGGTTTGCTATTATGCTACAAAATTCCTCCCTGGGAGGGTGGTGAGGAGCTGGGATGGAATTCCCAGAGAGGCTGTGGCTGCTCCATCCCTGGGAGTGTTCCAGGCCAGGTTGGATGGGGCTTGGAGCAACCTGGGCTGGTGGAAGGTGTCCCTATCCATGGGAACTGGCAGATCCTTCAGGTCTTCCAACCCAAACCATTCCAGGGTTATACAACATCCATTTCCAAAGGTTTTTAAGCCCCTGCCAGGTGTAAATAACACCAGGGTGAGAACCCAGATCAATGGATGACACAGATCCTGTCACCCCCCAGGAAACCTCTCCCTGTTTGCCTCACTGCATCCTCCTGAGTCCCTGGGGCTGAGCAGGAGATTGGGATTTGGTGTTCCAAGGAACTAACCCCAGGCACTTACCAGGAGCGTGTGGAGCTGTGCAGCATGGTTGGAGAACAGCCTGGGAGACTGCTGGCACAGCTGGCACACTTGGGAGATCTGGTGGGAACACAAAAACAGCATTTCAAGACACTTTTTCCTGCCTTTTATGCCCTAAATCCATTTCCTTGCACTCTACCTGCCCTCAGAGACTGGCTCAAGGATCCCAGTGCAAGGATGTGCCTCCAGCCTGGGAACAGGCACTGCCCCACATTTCAACTGGTTTGGAAACCACTCACAGATCCCTTTGACATGCTCCAAAATTTCCCAGAAAAACTGGAATAAGATCTTCCAGGGAATGTTCTTAGGATGAATTTTATAAGCCAGAAGCAATGACTATTCCTTCAGGAGGAAGGAGAGGGAGGGAGGGAGGAAGGAAGGAAGGAAGGAGAGGCCACTCTGGCATGAATGGAAAGGGAAAAGACTTCACAGTCAAACTGTGAACACCATCAGGAAGGTGTCAGCTGTAGCCATATGATCCCACATGCAATTCCAAAGTGTCCTTAAATTAAGTACTTAAGAGGAGGTGAATTCTATAGCTTGAGCTGTGGTGTCCTGAGCACCACCAAGCCTGGCTGTATCCAGCAGTAGCTCAGCTGGAATTCCCAGGTTTTCAGAGCCATCCAGGCAGGGGAAGGCTGGGATCCCACTCTCACCTCCTGCAGGGCTGTGGCTTTGTGCCCCGTGACGAGCCGACACATGATGATGTGCTCCAGCAGGATCACTTGGAATGATGACAGGATAGGGCTGCAGTCCAGCACTGCAAAACAAGCAAAAAGCACCTCAGGAAGGGAAGTTCCTCCAGGTATTGACCACTCAATTCACTGAGTCACAACAGAACACCCCAAACCAACCACCCAGACTGAAACTAGAGCTAAACTCTTAGTCCTGTCCTGTCTCAGACTGACACTGTCCCAGGAGATGCTCTGTTTTGGGTTAAATCAGCAAAAAACAATGGAATTTGGCAGCCTTTACCAAATTCTAACCCTTCTCCTTACTTTTTAGCTTCTCCAGCTGCATGAGTGCCTTGTCTGTGTACTTCTGGGCCTTCTCCAGGTATCCTGCCTGCATGGAATGCATCACTGTCACCTGCAGGGAGACACAACAAGGACTGCTCACACCTCAGACCTCCCTGCAAAGGATTTCCCAGGGAAGCTGCGGCTGCTCCGGCCCTGGGAGTGTTCCAGGCCAGGCTGGATGGAGCTTGGAGCAACCTGGGCTGGTGGAAGATGTCCCTGCCATGGCAGGGAGTGGGACTGGATGAGTTTTAAGCTCCTTCCAACCCAATCCAGTCTGGGATTAAGATCTGTGGAGAGAGGAGAGGGCTGGGAATCCACACAGCTCCTCAGCTTCCACATTTCTTAACCCACCTTTGGTCTCATTCAGCATTTCAATCACATTCAAGGAGCAATTTGAAGTCCAATTGTCACGACAGTGGTAAAAATAAGCCAATGTGGCTCTGCTTTGAATGAGTTCATCTGATTTCAGTTGAGATGGATGTGAATAAAGTTACATTCCAGTTTCCAAGCTTCTTCCCATCTCTTTCAACACTACCAGCACAACCATGGGTGCTGTGGCAGGATCTAGTGCAGCACAAAGCAGGACATGCTGCAGGATTCATCACTGCTGCCTCCAGTTTTTAATCAGGTTATCATTAATTAGCTAAGTCTTTACACTAAGAGCTCTTACCAGGTAGACCAGCACACACATGTGCTCCTTGGGCAGCCAGTGGAAGAGGTCAGCAGGGTTGCTGGGCAGTATCTCATCATCATGCAGGGTGGAGATGGTCTGGATGCACTGCTGGAGCTGTTTCAGGCAAGGCTTCACACTCTCCAGTTTTTAATCAGGTTATCATTAATTAGCTAAGTCTTTACACTAAGAGCTCTTACCAGGTAGACCAGCACACACATGTGCTCCTTGGGCAGCCAGTGGAAGAGGTCAGCAGGGTTGCTGGGCAGTATCTCATCATCATGCAGGGTGGAGATGGTCTGGATGCACTGCTGGAGCTGTTTCAGGCAAGGCTTCACACTCTTCACCTGGGGTCACATCACATCTGCAGCTCAGGGGCTGGAACTTGCGTTTGGGTAGGAAAACTTGCAAGGTAACACCTAACCCTCCCACTCAGGACATGAGTTCATGCCTCAAGCTCAGCAGTGGTAAAAATAAGCCAATGTGGTTCTGGTTTGTATGAGTTAATCTGATTTTAGTGGAGCTGGATGTTAATAAAGTTACATTTCAGTTTCCATCTAACACCACCAGCACCCACAGTATCACCCCATGGGCTGTGGGTGCTGTCCCAGAGCTGGAGCAGCTTAAAGCTCCAGGCCTGGTGCAGGATTAACAACAATCAGCCCTTCATGTTTGCAGCTGAACACCATAGACACTCAAAATGTGTCCTAAATTACACCCAAACTGTGTTATCTCCACCAACACAACCTAAACCAACACACACCACCATGGGTACAAGAACATCCCAGAAAAACTTTCCTTGAGGAAGAAATTAATGTCATTTCTTCACTCGTTTCACTTGTGATTAAAATCAACAGAAAATCAGTTTCATGACCAAAAAAACAGAGTGAAGGAACAGGAAAATTTTCCCCAAATCCCCTCAGAGCTGGTTTTGGAGGTTTTTCCCAGGGCTCAGTGGGCTCTGGAAGCAGCACAAGTCCCACATACCTGTCCTGCATCCAGGTAGTGAGTGACCTGCAGCACCAGGAAAAACACACGCAGAGATTCCTTCTGGATGGGATTTCCCTGCCAGTTCTCCACGATCTGCCCACACAGGGTCAGCAGGGGATGAACCTCCTGCAGCTTCCTCTCCATCAGGAGCAGCTGGAATGGCAAAGGAGAACTCAGTGGGTTTGGGTTAAACAGCTGAAATATTCAGAGAATCACAGCAGAGCTCACTGGGAGGCACTGGGAAAGGATTCCCAGAGAAACTGTGGCTGCTTCATCCCTGGGAGTGTTCCAGGCCAGGTTGGATAGGGCTTGGAGCAACCTGGGCTGGTGGAAGGTGACCCTGCCCATGGCAGGAGTGGAATTCCATGACCTTCAGGTTCTCCCAACCCAGCCCAGAGTGGGATTTATGCCTGTGGAAGCTCCTGAGAAATTCTCATCAGCTGCAAAGCAGCAAAAAATGTGCTTCTAATTTAGGGCAACTTAAATCTTGTGGCTTTGGGGCTGGAGCAACTCTTCCCACTTGGAATGAGGTCACAGGAGGTCACTAAGTTATCCCAGGGTTGGAGCCAGGCTGGGAGAGCTGGGAATGTTCAGTCTGGAGAAGAGAAGCTCCAGGGAGACCTTAGAACCCCTTCCAGTGCCTGAAGGAGCTCCAGGAGAGCTGCAGAGGGACTTGGGACAAGGGATGGAGGGACAGGACACAGGGAATGGCTTCACCCTGCCAGAGGGATGGGATATTGGGAAGGAATTCCTCCCTGGGAGGTGCTGAGGCACTGGAATGGATTTTCCAGAGCAGCAGTGGCTGCTCCATCCCTGGGAGTGCTCAAGACCAGGAAATAACCTGTTAAAAATGCACATCCAACTCACCATCCCCTGAACAGAGCTCTGAAATCAAACAAAACAATGTTAGGCTCAAAAAAAATGTTGCTGAAACCAAAACAATATATATAAAAAAGGAAGAAAAAACCCCAATTTGCCATTCTCCCTCTCAAAAAAAAAAAAAACAGAGAGAAAACAGTATTAATGGACATTACATAGGAGACATATTTAACAGCTACATGGGATAGATCAATCACAATTCCAACCTCAGGTTTGGCTCTAAGCTTTGGACAGTTCCAGCCACAAAAGTTTCTGAGGTCAAACCAGACAAAACTCAGGTTGAAAAAAGCCTTTCCAGAGTCTTAGAGGACTTTATTGGGTCCCATAGTCTGTGGAAGGTGTCCCTGCCCATGGGAACAAGATGAGCTTTAAGATCCTTCCAAGCCAAACCAGTCCATGATTCCATGAACAGCAAAAGGAAAAAGCTGGAGAAACTCTGGGATCTAGGAGAAGACTCAGAAATGTTGGTTTGCCTCTAAAACCCACAGAGTTTGGATGTGATTTAGTGATTTCTATCTCTCAATCCCACCCAGATCCCTCTCAGTCAGCCCCAGATCCCTCTCCCCAAAAAGCAGAGGAAGCCAAAGCCAGGGAAAAGGCACAGGGCACTCACCTGGTGTACTCTGAGCCCACCACCCGAGCATACTCTGCTCCCACTCCCAGCAGGTCACATGCAGACACTAAGTCTTTCTCCAGGGTATGAAGTTGCTGAAATGGAGAACAAAAAAAATCCAAGAAATTAGTGTTTTCTTCCTGAATCTAATGAAGAAGCTCTCAAAATGTCATTTCCCTGTGCTTTCCACATGCCAAACTGGTGCTTGGTGTGTTTCCTTTCCTTCTCCATTACCAGTGAGAATTGGGGTCAGGATGGGGGAAAGGGTATCCAAGTTCTTTGAGAGGGAACACAGCTATTCTCCAGCCCCTTTTCCCCAGGGACTGTGCTGCAGGGTCACAGATCCTGACCCCAATCACTTACTGCAAGCTGGAAGAGCAGCCTGCAGTGCCAGTAGGGAGTCTGCTGGGAGATCTGGATGGCTTTTCGCAGCAGAGGCTTCGCCGTGTCCACCGAGTTCTGCAAGACAAACAGCCCCAAGTCAGCCCCAAACCAGGATCTTGCAGCTCCAGCACTCACAGCCACCTTGAAATCAGAAGGGTGGGCTTGGAGAACAGGGAACTCAAAGCACGGAAAGCACCAAAACCAAGAGGGTGCTGAGGACTAGCATAGGTTGCCCAAAGAAGCTGTAGCTGCTCCATCCCTGGGAGTGTTTCCAGACCAGGTTAGACTGGGCTTGGATCAACCTGAGCTAGTGGAATGTGTCCCTGCCCATGGCAGGGAGTGGAACTGGATGAGATTTAAGCTCCTTCCAACCCAAACCATTACAGGACTCTAAAACTCTCAGGAAAACCATCCCCTTCCCTCTCTCCCCCCAAATCACCCTCTCTGATGAGCCTAAAGCAACACTATGGCCAAATAATGTTCCTTTGCAGGGCAGAGCTGTGTGGCAATTCCATCACTAACTTCCACAATTAAAAAGGCAAAAAGCTTTTCACAATTACATTTTAATCCTCTGTGTTTCCAACACAGCTCTAAACTTTCCATAAATCACATTACTAATGGAAATACACCAGTCCAAGGCCAAAATTCCATGCAGGCCCAGGCCCATCCCCAGCTCCTGCAGGACCTCACTCACCTCCTGGCAGTAGAGCTCTGACAGCAGACTGGCTGCCTCAAACTTCACATCTTCAAACTGGGGGATCTGGCAGCACAGTTAAGGCAACAACAAACACTGCACGGAAAACAGCTCCAACCTGAGCTCCAAAACCTCTGAACACAAGGAATACCTCAGGAAAGTTGGGACTAGCACCAACCTGAGCTCCAAAAACTCTTAGCACAACAAATAACTCACTGGGTGCAAAACAGAGCTCCAAAAACTTAGCATAAGGAATATCTCACTGTGTGGAAAACAGTACCAGGCTGAGCTCTAAAAACTCTTGGAATACCTCAGGAAAGTTGGGACTAGCACCAGCCTGAGCCTAAAAATCATTCAGCACAAGGAGTACTTCACTGTGTGGAAAACAGCACCAACCTGAGCTCCAAAAAGTCTTGGGAATACCTCAGTAAACCTGGGATTAGGTAGGATCAATGGCCCTTCCAACCCCAACCATTCCGTGGCTCGATGAGAGCATCCCCCAGCGATGCAGTAGACGAAAAGCAGATTTAAAATCCCACTTAACCCCTACCCCCACACCCTGGGGAGGCATTCAGTGAACTCCAAAGGAAATGTTCCGCTCTCAGTGCCCTTCCCACTGCCAGGAAAAGGATACCTGCTGGGATATCAACCACTGCAAGAGAACAGAGGGGATTAGTGTGAGCCCCATACACTAACTCCCTGAGCCCAACACAGCACTTCACTGACCACCCCGAGCCCTGACCACCAGCAGCCCCTGACCACCCTATCCTCTCACCACTACCATCCCTCTGACCACCAGTATTCTTTGAGCACCAGCACCCCCTGATCACCAGCATCCTCTGACCAGCAGCACCCACTGATCATCTGCATCCTCTGACCAGCAGCACCCACTGATCATCAGCACCCCCTG